AGTTTTTTTTTTCTTTCAATCATTCTTCAAGTTATAGGAGTTATCTTTTTTCTTTCCATGATTTTCATAATTATTTAATGTCAACACTTTGTTGTATTAGTTTTTACCCTCCTCAAATTCTGACAGACATTTATTGTGTTGGATACTATAGAATTGTACAGCTTTAATACATTTACCATTTAGTTGTACTGGTGAAGAGTTTAAAAGCTGACTTTACTGTCCTTTGATCCAGACTGGTGAGAGTAGAATGTTGGTAGGCTTAAATGTTTTGTAAATTTTTGAAACAGTTACAAATGGTGTCATTGTTTTTAAAGGTTGTCAATAGGAATCACTTTGGAACCCCTGCAATTTTTGGAAAATGTTGATTATATTATATCTCCAAAATGAGAAGTTTTTAACAGAAGAAATCTTGCAGCTATGCTTATCAGCCCTTTTCAAGAGCTGATCAGCGTTTTTCTTTTAAATTTAATATCAAGTATCAGACTTGTGACTCTAAAGGTGTCACTATCAAGTCTTGAAAAAGGTCTGTTCAGAGCGTAGCTATATGACCTCTTTGTAAAAAACATTTTAGGGGTATGTTATAGCCTCACCCTTTTTAGGTGACTGGCTCATTTTGATTGATGGCTTCTTATCATTAAAAATGTTTCCCCTGAATTTTGGACCTTTTAAATGTCATTGAGGGAGAAGTGTGTTTATTGATTTTCTCTCTCTCTTTCCAGCTCATTTTCATTTTAAGTGCTTGCCGTGGTAGATTGTTGGCAGATTGACACCTGTGTAAATTAAAATCACTGTCTCTTGCTTTCCACAGCTCAAGATCAAGATGAATCTTTATTGCAAGATGAGATCCGCAAGGCTAGTGTTGTGTGTATCGTGTATTCAGTCATCGATGAGGACTCGATACAAAGGGTATGTGGAGGGTCTGTCCTATTTCTCTCCTGTGATGAAGTGGTTTTGAATTAGAGAGACAAGCTGAGGAGTGGCCTCAGTTGTTATAGTTATCTTTCATCTGTTGTGGAATATGTCCATCATTATGCTGCCTCACCAAACTTCATAATTTTCTCTCTCTCTCTCTTCTGGCGCTGTGGCGTCATAAACGGTCAGCGACGCCGACAGCACCCAGGAACTCAACCCTTGCTCAGGGGTTCTTAAAAAGTGCTGAGCGTGGGTCACTTCATAATTTTGAGACTAAATGTGTCTTTTCCTACCAAACACCTACTACTGGTCTTTCTATTTCTCTCTTCTAGTTTTAATTTTAGATCTTTGTAAAATGTGAAAATAAATTAGCTTAAAAGTAAGGAAATACAGTATGTATGATGTGACCTGCTTTTTTGTATTTGCTATACTATTTTTATTATTTAGAATCTTTTCTTGATAACTGATTTTAAAAAAACACCTTTTTAAAAAACGGGCTACATAGGTTTACCTAAAGGTGTTATGTTGTGTTCAGCAAAATGAAAAAGTCTATATGTTTTTATTTCTTGAACAGCTTACGACATATTGGCTTCCCTTTCTGAGGCATACTTTAGGAGAAGATCACCGGACTCCAGTTATTTTAGTTGGCAACAAAGTGGATATGACAGATATACAAACTCTTGAGGTAGGATTTCATGACAGTTTTGGCACTTCTATGAGCATCTAGAGAAAGAATCCTGCTGCATCTTTTTTTTTCTTCAGTTTTTCACATCCTCAGTTGTCAAAAAGAATGCTCATTTAAAACTTTGAGATTTAACCCTTGCTTGGAGGCATGCTTTTGAACAAACATTCTTTAAGGAAGTTTATGCCTCAAAGCCTATTTTTGGGGAGTTTTTTTTAATGTTTCACTGCAGTTACAATGAATGTTCGAATTCCTCACAGAAGCGCAACGTTTGGAAAGGGCTGAAAGCTTTTACAGTAATGGGCAATTATTTTGAATTTTTTTTTTTTTTATGTATTAATAATTATGGGTATTATCAGTGCTGTTTTAAAATGTGTTTGTGAAGTTGCCTTTATAGTATCTCATCCTTGGTAATTGGATTTATTTACTTAACATTTTTCTTCCTTTAAATTCGTAGTAATTAGTTTGCTGGTGCAGTGTCATTGACAGAAGTCAAAGGGCTTAGATAATTTTATCTTTTCTTTATTGTGAAACACAGTCGAATTAAATATAAACTCATGCTCATTATTGGCAAGACTGAAATAACCAGATTAAATTATGATCAACCTCTGAACCTACTGTAAAAAGAAAATGTGTTCTGAAACACCTTTTCTGACTATGATGCAACTTTTGTTTTACGTATTAATAAAGGGTTTTTTTGTAAAAAATATAATTGTTTCAGCTTTCCTATTCCAGTGTTTTCAATTAATTTGTCGCATATTTTGCATGTATGTTGAGGATTTCACTTCTTTACTTGTCTGAAGGTTAAACTGCCCTTGGTAAGGCAAAATTTGTGCCCCCTTAGCAACTGCTTTGATTTTGCAAATTAGCCTGTGTAAATTTGATGAACATGTGGCATATAAACTTTTGTTGACCTGATCCTGTTTCTCCTGCTTTTATTTTTTGTGCCGGGGGGATGGTTAGGACCAGGTCATCTGGCAGAGAGGTTATGCCCCGTCTGTGTCAAGAGTTTGTGAAGCACATGTTTTGCTACATTTCTTTTTAGGGAGGGGGGGGGGGGCAATTATATTTTGAGAGTTTATTTGTTGTGATGTTTTTACGTGCTTAAAAATCCCTTTTCTTTATTCGTCTTTTAGATTGTGTCGATGGGGGCATAAAAACACTTACTAATATAAGAAAGGAATTTTTTATCATTTAGACTGTTGTTATTATCAGTGAATTTATCTTGATGAATGGATGATTGGATTTAATCAGTTGAGCAGTATCAATGGCATAGAAGGAAAGCTTTGCCCATTTCACCTCTGATGTACTCTTCTCTCCACATAAATATAACATCTCGCTTTTGTTTGTTGTAATCATTATAATCATCATGTTTTTATACTTTTGAAATAAAGATGCAAGCTTTTTATGCCGTATGCTTTAATAGTAAGCTAGAGTTGTTTCACTTTTTATCATGTCTTTTTCTTTGAGTGATGGCTTCAAAGCGGTTTTCCCAGGATGAAAATTATTTTTATAAATTCTCATGAAAATGGTTTCTTTTTAGAAGTGTGCAATGAACCACATTGTGGATTTTTAACTATTTCTGCTTGGCAGTCCTTGACCCTTTCTCCTTTTTTGATAAAAGTGCAGGTTATATTCATAGGAACATGCATGCATGGGGTTTACAGTTGTATGATTAGTGTATTTGCTTGATAGTGGTACTAGGGAAGCTGGGTTTCCTGGGTCAGTAATTAAGCGGGTGATGCAGATAACTGTTTTTTAGAGTTAATGATATAAGCATGTAGCATTATGTCCTGACAAACATTTCAACAAAAAAATAAGAAAGGGATGCTCCTGGTATGCAAATGTTGGGCATTTATTTGTGATTCCAGACTTTTCTTCAAAGGGCTGTAATTTTTTAGTTTTTTTTTTCTTTCAATCATTCTTCAAGTTATAGGAGTTATCTTTTTTCTTTCCATGATTTTCATAATTATTTAATGTCAACACTTTGTTGTATTAGTTTTTACCCTCCTCAAATTCTGACAGACATTTATTGTGTTGGATACTATAGAATTGTACAGCTTTAATACATTTACCATTTAGTTGTACTGGTGAAGAGTTTAAAAGCTGACTTTACTGTCCTTTGATCCAGACTGGTGAGAGTAGAATGTTGGTAGGCTTAAATGTTTTGTAAATTTTTGAAACAGTTACAAATGGTGTCATTGTTTTTAAAGGTTGTCAATAGGAATCACTTTGGAACCCCTGCAATTAATGGAAAATGTTGATTATATTATATATTATATAGTACCCCCTGGGGCGGTGCTACTGGCTGAAGTATCTTTAGGCTATTCCCAAAGGGGGGACATAAGCCATGTTCTTATGCACAGTAGAATTGTAATTGTAAATGGGCTGATTCATCAATGTCATGCTCATAATGACATAGCTGTGCCTGAACTTCAACAGGGAACTGCTGCTTTTTATTTCCTAATCCTTACTATCGTCATTTGCCTCAACTTCTTTATATATGTTTGTCTTACTCTTGTGACCCGCTATTTCTGGGGTGCCTTGATAGTCGAAGCAGACTTTGTGCTGTTAAAGCTAGAGAGGTGAGCAGAGTAAGCCTGATTCCCTGTAATGGCTTCTCTGTTGACATCCACCCCTTGGCGCTCATATGACCTTATGCAGTTGCGAACACCTTAAAGCCTTACTAAAACATAAAACAAACGATTATATCATATAGCTATACTGTGTAATAAAAAAAAGGCTCTGTAACTCAATGTCTGTTGTCTCATGAAGGTCTTATAGCTCATGACTATGTTTTTGTCTTTTTTCTTTTATTGCAGAGCATTCTTCCAATCATGAACGACTTTGGAGAAGTTGAAACTTGTGTAGAGGTATGTGTTTCCTGTTCACTTTGATGTGTTCCTCCTCTATCACCCAATGCAGTGCCCACTAGATATTCAAGTACTGTTAAGAAATGGGATGTCTGTCATCTGTGGTGTAATGATTAGGCTCTCTGCCATTGCATGCAGAAGGCCTGAGTTCAGTTCTCGTGTGGGGTGAATTTTTCTCGAGTGTCCTGGCTCTTTCTGGTATGACAGGTTCTCTCTGAAAGTAGGGTTGAAGTTCATCACCTAAATGATCTAAATTGTATGGATGGGGGAGTATAATGCCTCATTTTAAAAAAAGTTAGGATTTGCTTTAGCTGAAAATGATTGAGTAAGTGGAGGTGCTTGATGAAGATCTGTGTGCTGTGGAAAGGTCCATTTTCTAAAACTTTACAAAGTAAGCAAGCTGTTTCATGATAGGATTCTCTGAGCCAGCAAGACCAGTTCCGTCTGGAGTTGAATTTATTGCCCTTCCTTCAAGTACTGATGATATACCATAATGCATGTTCTCAATTAATGGCTTTGTATAATGAAGGTCAGTTTTGTTGGACATTTTTATTATGGAAAAAAAAAATTTATACTTACCACTTACAAGATAGCTGCTTCCAGAGTTTTTGACTTGACATCTGCTCACTTTCAATAGATTTTTTAAAATGTGCATGTATTTGTATTGTGTTCCTGCAGAGCAGTTTGATTGTCATATTTATAGTGATGATTTATTTTTAAAAAAAATTTTTCCAGTGCTCAGCTCGAACCTTGAAGAACATCAGTGAAGTTTTCTACTATGCTCAGAAGGCTGTGCTTCACCCAACTGCTCCTGTGTACAATCCAGATGAAAAAGAAGTGAGACTTATTTGACATTGTCCTTAAGCATATCTATTCAAAAGAAGAATTTCAGTTGTATTGAAGTTACTAGATATACTGATTTATTAGTAAATAGCTTAGTATTATCAAGACTTGATGTATGTGACTCTTATGTTATCAGGACTATCTCTAAAGGCAGTGAAAGGACTCAAATTGTTAAAGCAATGCTGTGCAGTTATTTTATAGAAAAGAAAGCGAGACTCTGCTACACATCTTTTACGGGCACTGCGCTGGCTTCCTTTTGAGAAAAGAGTTATTTACCAGTTGGCCACTCATGTCACAAATGCTTGAATGATAATGCACCCTTATATTCACCAAATCTTTTGAAACTGTACATTCCAGTTGTATTGTTCTTGAAAGGTACTGGTTTTCCTATTTTCCACAATTTAGATTTGAGTATTGTATTTAGACAACTGTATTATAATACCATTTTCCGAAGAGTTATTTTTGAGTACTTGAAGTATTTCATTGTTTAATAAAACCCAACTAAAAGTAGGTGAGGTAAAGAAAGAATGTACAAGGCATTGCTGAAATATAGACACTGATGCGCAATAAATTGTTATGTTCTTTTTTTCTCCATTACAGCTTACACATCCAGCAAAGCGAGCATTAACAAGGATATTTCGGGTGAGAATCTTTGTGGAGTTTATTATTCTGTGGCCAAAAAACTGTGTTGTGAATACCAGTTTACAGGGCTGCCTAAATCTACCGATTTTTCCGGTAGATACCGATTTTGGGCCTGTTCTACCGACATACCGATAAGGTGTCAAAACTACCTGATTTTCGATGGGTGCCGAGAGAATAAAAAAAAGAAAAAAACATTCTGCAGGGCTTCCATTCTTCTGTGTTTTTACGGAAATCCGTACATTCCAAAAGTTCGGTACTCGCATACTCGCCTCATAAAGAACCGGGACCACCCCCACCCTCTTTTCCCCAGTGCCCCTTATGACTGATTTGCCGTTGATCCCGATTTTTTTCACTAGATCTAGATCCTGATTTTTTAACTCTAAAATCCTGATTTTTAGATATCATAGAGTGGCAGGTCTGCTCTTTGTTTCTCATTCATTCACATCGGGTCACTGGTCATCGTGTGTGTGTTGCGGGCGGCCTTTGTGATGATTGCACGCAGGAGCTAAAACTATTTCTTTGATCACGGACGCGCGTTGTGCTTCCAAGTGATGGATGCGTTTTTAAAACCAACCAGTTGTAAGGCAAAACCTCGCGAACTAACCTTCTGTGCCAAGTATTCAGAGGAATTCAACTTCATCACTGCATAGAAATTGTCAAACAAACATGCTTTCTACAAGGTGTGCTGACGTCCTCAATGGTCCGTCAAGTGGTGTTAACATAGGAGAACTTGTATTGACAGGATTAGAAACCTTAGGTGTTCCCTTTATGCACTGCATCTCTCTGAGTTCAGACAATGCTTCAGTGATGATAGGACAAAATAATTGAGTTATAGCAAAGCTTAAGGAATCCCAGCCAGACATCTTTGCCATTGGATGCCCCTGCCATCTTATCAATCTGGCTGCACAGCATGCATGTGTCTGTGGTGTGCTTATAATTTGAGTAGAAGTTGTCTTTTGGTATCTTTTTGAAGTAAGAACTGGTCTCTTTCGCCGACTGCGCAATGAAAATCTGTTTTTGATTTTGAAAACTTGGCAGCTATGCCTTGATGGTCTAAAATCGATAAGAGTAGGCTTCGGGCCCCACCTGGGCAAAATTGAAAATTTCTTACCAACTGAAAATGTTTAATGTGTCCCACGTGCTTATATGACCTTATGCAGTTGCGAGCGCCGTAAAACACTTACCAAACAAACAACTATTAAAAAGGTATCACTGTCTTGTGTAAAGAAAAATCTTCGAAAGTTTCCAGCAAACTAAAAGTTGAATCCAAATGGAAATGGTGATTTGTATGCTTTTATGTTTGTTGACATTTGTGGTACCATTCTTTCTGAAGTTTTAGAAATTGTTATGAATGTGTTTGATTTTGACAATTTGGCTTTGATGATGAAGTTCTAAGATTGCTGTCAGCCTCTTATTTTATCAGGAAGCAAAAGAGGCATTTGTTGAAGTCATCTATGACCCCTAAGTTTCTTGTCCTTTTTGCAAGTAGTTGATTGACAGTCTTTATGGTCTGCTAGTTCTGTTTCCATGTAGTGTTACTTTTGTACTAATACAGGCTAGATGCGACTTATGATTTTACAGACCACATGTTTTTGTTAAATTATTATCGTTCCCAACTGAAAGTGTCCCTTGTTTTTTATTTTAAAGTTACATAGTTAAAGAGAAATTAAAGATTCTGTACTAAATGGTTATCGTATATTTTGTATTTTCTTCAGATCTGTGACTTGGACAACGACAATTTACTCAGTGATGATGAGATCAACATGTTTCAAGTAAGAACTGAAATGATAATTGTCTCTACCTTTAGTATTAGGAAGTTGGTTGAATGTTACATCAAATATTGATAGTGTGTGATTGTTCGAATGAAGTCACAGGAAATTTTATTTTAGAATACATGTGATAATTCTCTGTCTGATAAAAATTGTCATTGTTACACTTGATTTATTCATGTTGGTTTATCATGCAAAAGTAAGAGATAGTATAGTCATGTACTTATGTGATACTGATTAAATGAATGTTTGCTAAATTCTCATCGTTAACATTCTTTTCTTTTTTTTTTTCTTTTTTTTATCTCTGACAGTTGAAATGTTTCAATGCTCCTTTGCATCCTCAAGCCTTGGAGGATGTGAAATCTATTGTGAAGAAAAATGTGTGTGATGGCATTATTAAGGATGGAATCACTCTCAAAGGTAGACTGTTTGTTTTTAAAAATTAAATCTCAATTAGAAGCAGCTTTGAAGGTCTGTTTTTGGTCTCTGAGATACAGGGAGCTCTTCCAAGATACATTTGGACTGTGCTGTTAGAAGCATGAGTTTAATAAGGGTCTAAAAACTAGAAAGGCTGCATTTTTTGTTTTAAGTCTTCTTTCTGTGTATTGAAATTAAAGGAATGAGGGATTGATTAGAACAGGGTTCCTGCGGCCTCCTTGAATTCAAGGAGTCCTTGAAAACTGCTTGAATTTGCTTTCAAGGAAACATCTCCTTGAAAACTCCTTGAATTTGCGCTCAAGGAAAAATCTCCTTGAAAACTCCTTGAATTTTGCCAGGTCAGACAGGAACACGTATACAGGGTGACTGCCAGGCTCCGGGAATCCCGGGGCCCCTGGAATTACCCAAGAATTGGAAAAAAATCTCCGAAACCCGGAATGCAACGGGAATTAGAAGAAATCTGTAAATTGCCCTGATGAAAGACCTGGGAAAATACATAAACGTTCTGAATATTTGAAAACCAAATCCGATAACGCCATTGAGTCCATTTTTGCGGGTCGCGGTTGTGATATAATATAATTCATTCGCCCTTTCCCGCCCTGAGAGTACGTTTAACGCGCACAGGCGGTTATGGCGCGAACAAGTGGAAGTGTATGTGCGATACCGAAGCTCGTTCGAGAAAATCAAGATCTACTTTCGCTTTCGTTACTACCAAGAAATTTGCCAGTAGGGCCTATAGTATTCTGATAGCACCACATTTGTAACATGCAGGTTCTGCATTACAAACGCTGTGTCGCCATAAAAATAATTAGTTTGTCCTGTTCTGTCACTTGTGAAAAAAACAGAAAGAAAAAGAAAGCTTCTTGTCGAGCTCGCCGTCGCGACCGGTCATTGAACCTGTGCGTTTTCGTCACATCGTGAGTATCGGCGATGGTTGAGGTCACCAAAGTTCATGCAAAGTCTCAGCTCTGCGAAGTATAGGACTCGGGAATGGGGGGATTATTGATTTTTTTTTTTTAAAGACACCCGGGGGAGGGGGGGGGGGGGGGGGGCTGAGGTTGAAGGCAACACCGGATGACAAAAACTGAACTTGGAAGCAGATTTTACTTTTCAGAATTTTGATTACTACTATCTAGAGCTCTCTGCACAGCGCGCGTTGGTGCAGGCCTTGTATGGAATCGGGATCTGTCATACTCAATCCTTGTAAGCCGTGTTTTTGTAACTAAAGGGTTCCCGTTTCATTGATTGTATATTCTATATTTTTGCTTTCTGTTCAAGATTTGCAGATTTTCAGTGTCACTGCCTCTTGCCCTCCCACAGTTCTTACGCCTCTCACACTGAATAGGTCTACTTGAGCCATTCATGTTATTGCTCTACTTTGAGTTAGAGCAATAATTTTTGTCTTTCACATTTATTATATAAACATTGACACCCAAACTGGTTCTTGACAGTGGATATTCTGGTTCTAGGCCTTTTCTCAGGCTCAAAGCAAGATTCATTTTTATATAGTTAATATAGGTGAATATGATGAGGGGGAAATATAAATAAGTAAGAACAGACTGAAATACCAAAGCCACAGTATCCCAGTGCCACACTGACATCATGTTGTTGACTGGATATATTATACCTGCATGCGTGCATGCCACGTGTGTGTGTATATATTATATATAATATATAAGTGGAGCCTACACTGTCATTGTTATGTAACATGCCCCCCCCCCCCCCCCCCGCCTGGAAAATTGAGAGGCCGGGTTGGCAGTCACCCTGGGAACAGTTTTTGTAGGAAAATCGAAACTATGATATGGTTCCTTTCGGACAAGTGTAGGCCTTCGAAAATACTCTTTCGTCATGATTTTTTTTTACCAAATCTTGAATTTAAAAAATTTCTCCTTGAAACCTCCTTGAATTTGATGGGAAGTTCATGGCAGGAAACCTGTCAGAAATCGAACTGGGCATAGTAAGCTGACTGTAATGACATGTACAGATCTATCAACACTGAGGGTTGAAAATGTTACTGACTTCGGGTATTCAGAAAATGTCAAAATGGTTAGCTCAATGAATTTTCAATCGTTGGCAATGTGCAGAATTGTTTTACATTTTTTATCATAGTGTGAGAGTGGGTATGTTAAGGGGAAATTCGACAGACGTCAATAGATCTTAGGGTAAAGGAAGTTATTTTCCAAAAGTTGTTATTATAGCAGGTGATAACTCTGTCAAGTATCTGTGTGTGTGTGTGTGTGTGTGTATTAGAGCTTTAAATTGTGAGTAAAGCCCATTGCCCTATCACAACTGCCGAAAAAATTAATTTGGTTTTGGACCTTTATGCACAATGTTGGGAACTTTCTGTAAAGGAAGTTCATATGCTCCTTCCAAAGTGTTGACGAATGCATGAAATCTGTTGAAGCAAAATGTCCTTTTATCTTTTTCATATGAACCACAATATCAAGATGAGTCAAGTGGTCATTCTGTCCAAGAAAGAGTTCTTATGTTTTGAGGTTAAAAAAACGCTGTCATGTAATTATTTTTATTCCTCATTTGTACATCATTTTGTATCCCCAGGCTTCCTCTTTCTTCACACATTATTCATCCAGAAAGGCCGCCATGAGACGACGTGGACTGTGTTGAGAAAGTTTGGTTATGACGACAACCTGCAGCTGACCACAGAATACATTGCCCCTCAGTAAGTGACAGCTTAACTGTATAGTTTTTTGTATTTAAGTGCTACAGGTGGTTTGTAGCTGGTATGGTGTAGTTTGCTCTTTCTTCTTTATCTAGATAGGATAAGATACATTTTTATTGTCCAGATTGACACATATGTTTGGTGTTTCACCACACATGCATTCTCAGTCTTACTTTTATCTCAATTTGTTCCAGATGAAATGTGTTGTCTTTGCCGTGCTGGCTCAGCTCATCAGTCTTTGACTCATCTACCCCCAAATGATGTCTTTTAGCCTGATTTGCACAATTTTAACTTGAAATATACTCTTTTGTTTGTCATTTTTCCCATGTGATTGATTTCTCCACTTTCCTGTTAATGTGGTATATTCATAAGTTACTCTGTTCTTATTACATTCTGGTATCAAAAACAAATGGGGGGACATATAAGAAGAATTAAGGAAAAAATATAGGTCATACTATTAAGATTTTTTGTTTTTGCTTATGTATGTTAACTCTTATCCCGCGTCTGTGCCCAGATGCATATTTTATCAGCAACCGATTACGTCGGACGTGCCGGGCAGGCCGCCGGGGTCACTCAGTGTGTACTGTTGGTGTACAGCACGCGCGCCGGGAAACGTGTGTTTTCGCCATGAATACCGCGGGAGTGTGTTAACCGATTATGAAAATAACGCTCTATCTTTCATAGCTTTCTATTTATAAAGTGTTACAAACACATGAATAACCCCCTCTCACAAGCTGATAAGACATTACGAGTAGTTACGCCCTTTCGAATAACCTTTCTGGACGCTCTTGTTGTTATGAATGACCTGAGGTTCAAAAAGGGATCATTTAGGTCAATTTCCGAATGTTTTACACTCAAATTGTTCTTTGTACCTGCACAATGGTATTCAAAACTATCAAACAAGCTTATTTCTTATCAGGTAGTATCATTTCATACAAAATCAAGCTCATTTGAAATATTTTGTATAGAAAAATGGAAGTCTTGTTTCCTGACTATCCTTTCGAGCTCTTCATTTCTAAGTGAGTCAATTTCTTCTATAATTTCATTGGACGAACATCTAGAGCTACCAACTTGGCATGTTTTGAATTAGACGTATGCCTCGATTATTACGAATCAACGCAGGCAGTTCTAAAAGAAGGCCACAAATGCACACAAACTCAAGCAGACTGACACACACACACTTGACCTGCGTGAATGGGGAGCCGACTCGGGACCCGAATGATATGTAAGAGGCTGCGCGTGCGCTGAGCCAAGGGCTACACTGATTTGGGACCAGAACGTAGGCGAGGTGCCGAAATAGGCTTATCGGGCGGCATAAACCCGGCTCCCGCAGGATGAGGGTTAACATTTTGACAATGCTTTGCTTCTTATTTATGTGTCTTGTGTTGGTCTCTTGTATGTCATTAGAAATGTGATATGGAAAAAGATATAATATGCTCATTGATATTGTTGTGTGCGTACTAAGAAGACTTCCATATGTTTGTGTTTAGCACTCGTTAAGATGTGTAATGACTAAAATACTTTTCCTTTTGTCTGTAGATTGACTGTGAGTTTAGGCTGCACAACAGAAATGACAGCTCAGGGCTACACATTTTTGGCTCGACTCTTCGATAAATATGATGAGGTAAAAAGTCACAAAGTTTTGTCTGTCAACACAAATTAGCTTCTTTTTTGTTTCTTATATTAATCAAAATGTAGCCTGCAGTCAAAAAAAGTTTGAGGGGAGGCTTGTAAGTGAAATCTTTTGGGTACTTCTTGTGTTGCTCTCAGGTGGGGGGGTTTGATCTGTTTACTTTATTCTTCGACTCTGTGAAATGGCAATATTATTATTGTGCTGACTCTCTGTAAATCATAACTCAGCTGAGGCAGGCTGTCCACTGTTGAACACATCGTTATGACCTCGCTATCATGGTATTATAATGTTTTTCAATTCTGTGCCTGGGGTAGCATCATAATGAAGATAGTTTGGTGGGACCAAATTTATTTTAATATTCTCTTGATATACTCTGTAACTCTGATTGTTGTCAACATTGGTGCTTCGAAAAGAAATTGTTCATATGCTGCAAGATAACTTTCTACTGTATATTTTGCAATTTGAGTGAGAGGAAAAATGTCACACTAATTTGTGGAGCGTTCAAACTTAACAAGTCCTTTAATGCATTTTTGGAGTACGTTGTACCTATGATATAAGCACTCAGAGTTTATACTCGTATAGAGTACTATATAAATGCAATCTATTATTATTATTGTTATAAAGCAAATTTTGTATTTCTTGTGACTAGGATCGAGATGGCTGCCTGTCCCCTACAGAGCTGCAGAGCTTGTTCAGTACATGTCCCATGATGCCATGGGGTCCTGATGTGAACAACACGGTGTGCACCAATGCAGACGGATGGGTCACCATGGAGGGTTACCTTGCGCAGTGGACGTAAGCTGGAAACTGATAACATGCTGAAAATCCTTCGCCGTCATATCAGCTCTCCATTTTTAAAAGAATGTTTATATCTATCTTTAAATGGCCTTGCTGTTTTAGCATTTAGCCAGGTCACTTTTTGGTGGGTTTTTTAGATAGCTTGAGTAAGCTGTTTCATTTGATCAATATATTCATGCATACAATTATTGCCTGTGATCAACATAGATAATATAGAACATTTTATAAGTCTGCACTTGATGTGGGAGTCGAAAATGAAAATGTAGACCCAGCATTTTAGTTCAGTAAAATATTAGGTGTTGGAAAATTTTTTGCTGTGGTGTGCTCTCATTTTCTCCTTTCTAGTGTTTTTAGTGACCTTTTTATTTTGTTAATGACAAAATGTGACCTTTATTTCGTGGACTTATGGTAAAGTGCTTTTGAAAATCAACGCTTAACTAAAGTTTCCCCATATGCTACCTACAAGATAAATTAGGTCCTTGGCAGAGGCCTTAAAAGAAAAGTTAAGCTTGACATGCTCGAGATCACTGTGTTGGCTTTTTTGTTGTTGTTTTTTTCTCATGTCATCACTTGACATCAATGCTGTTGCACCCCCAGGGCAGTGCTACCCACCGAAGTGTCTTTAGGCCATTCCCAAAGGGGGAACATTACCATGTCCTTATGCTCAGTAGAATTGTAAATGGGCTGATTTATCAATGTCATGCTCATAACTGTGCCTGAACTGCAAACAGGAAACTGCTGCTTTTTATTTCCTAATCCTTACTATTGTCATTTTCCCTCTACTTCTTTCGTATGTTTGTCACTCTCTTGTGACCTGCCATTTCCAGGGTGCCTTGATAGTCGAAGCTGACTTTGTGCTGTTGAAGCTAGAGAGATGAGCAGAGTAAGCATGATTACCTGTATGGACTTCTCTGTTGACATCCACCCCTTGCCGCTCATATGACCTTTTGCAGTTGCGAGCGCCGTTAAAAACTCTATTAAAACTAAAAATGCTGGTGTAGGTAGGTCTTTACTCACCGGAGTTTTCTACTCCACTGGCCATGTAGTACAGTCGGGTCAGGAGGTGTTTTTCATGTGAGCACTTCGCAGGTCCATGCGAAGCCATGGTCATGTCATGTCAGCTACTATGTTGTGAGTTAATTGAGTGTTCGGAGAGTCACTATACTGGTGCCTTTCTTTTCAGACTGACCACTTTGTTAGATGTGACGAGAGCTATAGAATTTTTGGCCTACCTTGGGTACAACTATCAGCATGATTCACAACTTTCTGCAATACATGGTAAGCACAAGTTCTTTTCCATGATACATGTGAATGAAACATAGCTGCCACTTTCCTGCTAAATAGCGGAAACTCCGCTACATCTAGCGTTTCCCTCAACTTTCCTCCTTCCTCCGCTGGACCGCTCTTGGTCGCAAATTTCATACTTTTTTTTTTTTTCCACGCGGAAAACACCGAACCAGGAGAGAGACGAAAACGCGGTTCGCGCATGTCCGCCGTAGCTTTCTACTTCCGTTCTTCTAGGCCCAGCGCTAGTTTCACATTGTTTATTGTTGTGGAGCAACACAGTGTCGATCGGGCATCGGGACGTTAGCGCGCCGAGTTGTCATTGAAATTGGCGGAAATTCGAGAGAAATTGATTCAGAATGCAAAAATAAAAGGAACTGGAATGAGAAAGAAGCAGCCGGTGTGCGACTTGAACAGTTCATTAGAAAATTGAACTAGATCTAGATCTAGCCGTTTTTTGCGAAAGAAATCGCGGCCCACGGCACTCCTGTGCCTGTGCAATTGCGGTCCCGTTTGTTTACATGACGGCTATTGTGGCTGCTACGGAAGTGAATCTAGATCTAGATCTAGAAAATCTATCTCTAGATATAATCTAGATCTACACATATTTAGATATATCTAGATCTAGATTAGATAGCCTAGGCTATAATTTTAATTCAGTTTATCTCTAAATAAGAAACACACTACAGGGGCACTAAGTGCAAACGGGACCGCAATTGTACAGGAGTGCCTGTGTATCCTTGATCCGATACTGCTCTACGTCTATGTATGTACACGTTTAAAGTGAAAGAAATCTTTTTATGAGACACCAGCTGGCAAAAAACACTAGATTTTTAGTCACCAAGTCCAAACTGTGTCAAATTGACTCGAATGCTTGTTAGTCAACTTACTGCCTTTATGTTGTTGTTTTTTTTGTTTGTTTTTTTTTCAAATACATTTTAATTCAGTTGCCTATGGTTAACAATATGACAGCTTTCCCTTCCAAAACCGTAGGCTAGATTTTCCAGTATATATTGCCTCTGGATCTCACTGGTTTCGGAGAGCGCGCGTACGCCTTCGCGTGAATTTCCTCCTTTTTATAAATTTCTGAGTGGCAGCTATGATGAAAGAGTTTTAGCCCCTAGTAGGTAGCTTGGCTGGGGGTTTTTTTATACTCAGGAGGACGGAAGTGGTAAATTAATATATAAATACGTATGGATGTTAATATATTGTAATCAATGTACTTTTTGTTTCTTATATTTACACTTCGATTAAATGTACCAGGCTGTGATTGAATATTCTTTTAGGCTTATATCTTGACAAAGTATAACAGAAAGTGTTAACTTATGAATCATAAACAAATGAGAAAACAGTCGTTTTATATTACAGGAAATTCCAGCTCCATTTTAGAATTTTGGTATGATTTAAGCTCTTAACTGAAATTTGTAAAGCCCATTTCTTTATTGGTATTTTACAACTTGTTAAAATACTTCACACAATTGTGGTCATCGACAAATCACACCAGGTTCAACTGGCGTACTATGCATTGCTTTTTATGAGAATGCCTGTTTGTTTTTTTGTTGAATGTAAATATTCTCCTTCTGCTTCATGAAATGGAATTAATGGTTTGTCTTTTCTTTCTCAGTGACAAGAGAGAAAAAGATAGACTTGGAAAAGAGACAGACAGGCCGTAATGTGTTCAGATGCCATGTTCTTGGTGCTAAATCAGTGGGAAAGGTAATTATAAATAAATAACTTTTATTGTTTGGAATAGTGAAATAGTTCAGGAAGCTGTGTTAATTATGGCAAAGGATTCTGCGTTAGTTCAGAAACTGCCTTTGTGTATAATATTGATGTTTCCAGCTTTATTTACTGTGGAAAGATAGATTTCCCCAGTTCTAAAAAAAACTTGCAGCCACTGAGATAAAAATGTATGTTTGTGGTTGTTGAAAGGGACTGTATAATGTATTTTCAGAAATTGCATTAAATTGCACTTTCAAGTACAAAACTTATTTCCGAACAACTTACTTTTTACATTTTTAAGATAGCTTCAGTACTTGGTGAGATCAGATTGATATTGTTAGGTAGGGTGCAGAAACAAAGTTTTGAGAAAAATGGCTTCAAAGTTTTCCTTAGATCTGGATTTAATTGTTCTTCAAATGAATATAGTTCGATCGCCCAGCCGTGTTGTTTGTCTCTGAAAGCCTTGACAACACAGTTAGTTCTCAATGTGCAACTGAAAAATGCACTTTAAAACAATTACACAGTTTCAAAGTGAAAGTGTCATTAAAACATCTTCAAATCAAATTCACGGTCAAATAGAACAAGAAATTTAGCAAAATGACTGCTTTGGTCATGAAGTGTCTTACGGTATGCGTATGTGCGAAGTCTCCCTTCCTCTACTGTGTCAGTATCTGCAGTGCCCACTGCACACCACAAGAAAGGACACAAGCTGATTTAAATTTTAATATGCTATGTGAAGAGGTTGATTTTTAAGGAGTCTATTTTTAAGAGTGGCTTTGCAGCCTTGCTTTATTCAGGAAGTGTTATTGGGTATGAATGTGGAAAAACCTCCCATCCGTTACTGTTTTGATACATTCATGCACAATTCACAGCTCTAGGAAGGTCACAAGCTGACTTAAATTTTGATGTGCAGTGTGATGGGGTCTGTCTTAATGAATGGGTCGTAGAAACCTTCTGCAATGTAGGCTCTGACACCAAATTCTCTAATGCAGTTGTTGTTGTTACATAAGATGACTTGTGTCGATAAGCATCTTAATAAAAATATTTTTAGCGTGAAATATACTCAAACCTTGTAAATATTGGAAGGTAAATGGCTAAAGAATCAGTTTTATAACTGAAATAACATTTTCATAATAAATTAAACTTTGACCACCTTTATGGCCCTGTAACTGACTTGAGCAAATGTATCTTGTGGTGCCTTTCTCCCACCACGCACACATACAGATTACAGCCTATGAATTATGAAGGAAGGAATTACAAATGTTGTGTGTTTTTCACTCTTTTTTAAAGTAAATGTTTGCATTTTTAATGATTTTGTATATATTTTATTCATAGATGTATTTTTTTTATTAATGACCTTGTGTAATTAATGTGCTTTTGTTTTGTCACAGACTGCCTTCCTTCAAGGTCTTCTCAATAGGAACTTGCGTTATGTTGCCACACTGAATCGTCAGTACCTTTCGAATTTCACAATAAACACAGTGCAAGTGTATGGTCAAGACAAATACTTGATGGTAAGAACATTCTTTATTCCTTTCCCATTGGGAAACTTTGGTGCGTAAAAGTAATGTTATTGTATTAACAGTGTGCTTTTTCAAGTTTGTCATAGAGAGGAAGAAAATGCCTCGATTTTATTACTTTGTTTCCCCAACTTGCACCTGATGGGGATTTTGATGTAATGTTTAAAATGTATCCCAATCAGATCACTCGCCAGCATTTTGTTTTCTTTTTTGTTCTTGTTTTTTGCTTGTGTGTAGGGTTTTTAATTTTTTTCATTTTAGCATAGTGTCCACCAAAACCTTGTCTATGGAATAATCAACAAAGACTGAGTTATATGTTGGCTATACTTTGTAAACTAATAAGCTCTCAGAAGATATTATTTTTTTTAAAATTGGCTTGAAGTTAAGTTATAATGTGTGACTGTCAAGTCAAATAATTCTTTGGACTTACACATTGCATTTTTGTGCAATTAATGTAGACCTTACTTTTAGAAATTCTGTGTGATATTTTTACTTAAAAGATTTCTGAACTGGTGAATCTTTTGCCCATTTGTTTTAAATATGTATTGTCAGAAAATGATTTTTAGTGTGTCGTCCAGACAAGGATTTTTAATGGGTTGCTGTGTATGTGCAGTTTTGTTATAATAGTTGTTTTCATACACCCTAGTACTGGGTATTTTTTCTATCTAAGATGGGTTTTTTTGTTTGTTTGTTTTTCATTTTAGCTCCATGAAGTTGACATGATGATGTGTGATATGCTTACCCCTACTGAGCTTGACTGTGATGTTGCCTGTCTCGTATATGACGTCACAAACCCTCAGAGTTTTGAGTTTTGTGCACGAATGTATCTGGTAAGAAGAAATGTTTGTCAGTTTGGTGGTTGAACAGTGCTTAATTTGTTTATCTTCACAGAATGCAATGTCTGGGTGACACAGACCGCCAGCCCAAAGTTTTTATAATATAGACAAAATTTGAAAATTATGTAATTCATTTTTATTTAAGTGATATACTCAGAATTTCTTTTCTTTTCATGATTCACTGTGACTATACCGAGTCCACCTTTCTGTTTCGTTGTGATCCAGTCTTATAATATGAAAGGTATAAGGGGCAATGAGTCTTGATTAAAGTTTTTAGTGGGATGTTCATGAACTTCGGTTGTTATTGGAGTCTTCAAGGATCTACACCTCCTTGGCTTAGTCGTATCTGAGATGGGAGTCAAATTTAGAAATCTCGCTTTTTATATAGACTTAATAGTGCTATCTGTTATCTCATCCATCCAAAAGGTTGAGAAAGGGAACATTAAAATAACTCGTCTTTAGACTTGTGATCTTGAATGACTAACACTCAATTTAAGTGTCTAACTGCTAGCATTGTTCTCTTTTTTTGTCCTCCACGTTCTAGAAACATTTTATCGACTCAAAGATCCCAACTCTGATCGTCGCGTCCAAAGCTGAGTACCCTGAGGTGAGACAAGACTACGAATTCACACCTGCTCAGTTTTGCAGCCGGTTCAAGCTCCCCCCTCCACAGCGATTCACGTGCATCGACAAAGTGAACCATGACGTCTATGTCAAACTGGCAACCATGGCTGCATATCCGTAAGTTCACAAGTATTGCTTTGCTCAACGTTTGTAAATTTCTCCATTTGATAGAATTGTAAGCCCAGTCAACTATTCATATTTTTGTCCTGCCATATTCCTGCTGGCACATTTTCCCTTTCGTGTGAGTGAAAATTTTCCTACATACCTGTGTTGCATTATAATATTTGCTTACACAACCCTGAAGTGAATGTTAATTTTGTTTAAAACGCACCTTGAAGAGATGTCTTTACAAATAGATGATCTTACAATAATGTAACCTCCAAGTTGAAATCAGCCTGTCCCTGGAGTATTCTTTTTATTACATATCTACAAACTGAATTTTGTTTCTTTCATTTTAGTGAAAGACTTGTGGTTAATAGATTCTCTATTTTTTACAATTGTGCATGTAGCTCTGCTAGTTTCATAATTTTATGCATTGTTCTTATTACACCATAGAATTCTCTTCCATAATGTTTTTCATGTTTTCGGTAAGAGCAAGGTAGGTTACAGTGTTTGAGCCTGTTTGGACTGAGGGAAAATGAGCACATTTTATAAGATAATGGGTGGTTTGTTTTTGTTTTCTGGAAACAAGGTCGTTTTAGATAAAAGTGAGGTAAGCTCTCTTTGATTACTGTAGATTTTTTTCTCCAAAAATTTAATTAATCAAAAGGGTAATGGCAATAAATTTATATAGAAAAAGACCCTCTGGTGTAGTTTGGAGAGAGCAACTTTTGTTTGTTGCGAGTTCTCAGTTTTGTTAATTATCTTGTTAGTTGTTATTTTGGGTGATTCTTTTAAGGTATTGTGTCATTTAAAAGAGGTTGAGACAAATTGCAAAGGATGGGGTGATTTTAAGTACGGTATTGTAAGTTGTCACTGTGATCCTTTATTTCATAGACGTGTTCCGCCATGTTTCGGTCGAGGGTGAAGAATAATTGCTTTCTAGATGCCAGCTGACAAGTTGTCAGAGAAGCTTTGTCCCATGCCGAGCTTTGTTATAAAAAAATATAATATATATATATTATGTATCTATATGAATTGCTCTCTCAAGACTGTATGGACCTTGATTGATGACTGTCTCTGAAAAGCATTTCCTTTAAAGGTTTCTATGGATATAATACTGCACTAGTAAAAAGTTTCACTTATTTGAATATTTATCTTTCATTATTACCTGATGGTTTGTTGCAGGTTTGTTGTTTTTTTGTTTGTTGTTGGGTTTTTTTTTTGGTTTTTTTGGGGGGGTGTCTTTTCTATCCTGATTGGAAATATATGGCGTAGTGGTGAAATCAATCGCTTGTCAAAATAATGAAATCGAAGAAACCGACATTTTTCCACCCGAATGGCAAGTTTTATTTAAATTTGTTTTTTAGCTTAACACTGTCCAAATCTATTTGAAAGAACATTTCTGTGTGGATTTTACAGAAAAATGTTGGTCAAGACACAAAAGAAGTAGTTTTGCATTTTCCAAGGACACTTAAACTTTGGAAGTCGTCAGACTTTGGCCTCCAGTTTCTCGCTAATTTTACCTTTTACCAAGTGACCTCCACCTCCTTCAATGGCAAAAGTATATCGACGTCTTTTCAAGATAGTTGGGTATATTTTTGTCATCAAAAGCAAGAGAAATGAACAATCTTTAAGGGTTATACCAATAACTCCATATGCCCAAAAACTGACGAGCGTCCGATTCCACTGTTGTAACACAAATTGCTGTGCTCTAGAATACACTATAGGTTATCTCTTTACATACTTGAACTAAGCAGTACATGGACTGATCTACAATTATAGCACACTGAGAATTAAATGATCTGAATCGAAAAAGAATTTCCTGTTCAGTAAAAAAATCGTGGCTTGAATTTGTTTTTCTACATCAAAGTGAAAATATTTTTCATTTTCGTCATTTTTTATAAGGTCAACATGACTGTTATTTTAAAATTTGTGGGTTTTTTTACCAAGCTCTATCCAGTTGTATCAGGAAAAAACACGGATGGAAAAAGAAAACAAAAAGTTGTGTATTCCTGTTTGAATTTGGACAGCAATTTTATGCCTTCTTAGTTTTACATGGGTCATATTTATCAGAGTGTCATTTTAAAAGATAATATTAGCAAGTAAGATGTTTTTGTTTGTTTCTTGAATGATAATTTTCGTTAACTTTGTGTGTTGGTGGTTTGTGAACTTCTTTCGTGTTTCTGTTCTAATCTGCGCCCTGGTGAAATGTGGTCATTATGTCCCAATAGCACCATAAACTACAACATCACAACTCATTTGTATGTGATGTCTACATTTCTTATTGCTTACTTGTGTAGTGAATTCTAGAAATCCTTCTTTTGTATTTATGACCACCCCTGGGTGGCACACCTCTTTAAGAATGTGTTGACCTTGCCACACTCGTATATTACTGTCCTGGCAGGAGGAGGAACTACTACCGAGCTTCCACTGTGCAGAACGCAGTTGTTTCTATGTTTTTCTCTCCCTTTGTTGTTATTGCTTCGCGCGCTGAAAACTTCTCACCCTTGTACCTGGGCCCGCCCGGCTTTGTCCCTGTCTCTTTCAGCAACCTAAAGCGTTTGGTCCACATGCTGTTGGTACATCAACGCCCCTTGTGGCTGGAGGAGAGACTAAGGTTCTACAAACATGGAGTTTTTTTTTCCTTTCATCTTCCTACTCTGTTTTGAAATACTTTTTTTTTGTTGTTGTTCGTAATCATGTCTCACTACTAGTAATATCCCAGTATACAATGTAGGCAAAAGTAAAGAATAGACCGCCCGCCCGCCCCTTCCCACCACAGCCCTTGCATGTCCATTAACCACCACATTGTGCATAGGCCTACTTCCTTCCCCTCTAGTTCCCCATGTTCCCTATACTCTTTATAACCCACTCACACACACACACACATCAAACTTGTTTCACATAAATATGCTAGCTTATTTTCATACTCACCAGCTTTCCAATTTTCTATGTAAATGTGAGAATGTATTTGGATAAGCAACAGCTCCACTCCATTCTTCCTGCATAAATTTGCCAACCCTAATGAATATATAATAACAGATCACCGTGTACACAGTAGGTCAATGTCGGGGGATGTTCTTTACTTTTGACCAGATGTACTCTATCCCCTCTTTGGTTCTGCCACCCCACAAGCTCCTTTCTTTCTTCTGTATCGTCTTTTCAACCGTTTGACTCTCCAAGATTTGGTGTCTGCACGATGTTGCTCACAGCTTTTCAGATTCCCACTCTTATATTGTTTAGAAAAACCTGTCAGCTTAAGGTACTGATTTTGTTTCACATTTATGTTCAGTCAAAACACGGTTATAATGAGGCAGTGTAGGATGCTGCAGATCACTGACAAAGTTAACGTTGAAAAATCTTTGAGATACTATAGTTTTAGGTGTTGGTCTTTCTTTTCAGCATTCCTACAACTTATTTTTTTTTTAGTAAGAACGTATTTTCTTGGAGATGTTTGTTTAATCAATTTAGAGCAATAGTGGTTATAGAGGTTTTACCTGTGAACTTTAGGACATAATTTTGTTTCAGTAAATATTATGTCACTGGAACTGAAATTCTGATATAAATATGTTACTTTTTCAGTAAAAAGGTATGGTTTCTAAAGTAGCTAGGTATGTTAGATTAATACATTAAAAAGATCATGTTAGTTTTTAAGTTAAAAGCTAAAAAATCTGAAAAGCTGAATGTTGTGTTAACGCCAGTGCTGGCTGTATGCATAAAATAAAGTGTTGTAGGCTTCTAATTCTAAGGCTGATGTTTTGTTCTGGTGTGCTTTGGTGCCCCCGCTCTTCTTTTCTTTCTCTCTTTCATCTCTGACCCTGGAGCTCCACACTCAAATGCTGCCTTTGTTCACCCAACGCTCTCGAGCTTGTGCATGGTTTATTTTTACCCTTGCTATGTTTACTTGGTTTATGTCACAGACTTTGGGGAAATTGTTAGGAGAAGGTCAGTTGAGATGGTTTGGACTTAAATTACAAACACAACCTCCCTCACCTCTTCTGATATATGGTGACAGTGGTTGAAGATCATGGACTCTAGTCACCTGTACAGTGTAAAAAGGAAGAGGCCACTTTGCTTTGAATTTGTAACTTCCACTTGTTTCTGCATGGCTGAAATTTTTGTCTTCTTTGGATTTCCATAAAGAATTCCTCTGCTTTGGCCATCTTCAATGGTCCCACCCCGACTCATATTCATAATCACAATTCTGGTGGAGAAGAGGAAAAGGTTAAGCACAAAATAAAAATTAGATACCCATTAAAAAAGAAATAGATCTAGATGTCATTATATCTGATTAGAATAGATCAGTCTGTAGTGTAAATGGATTGAATGCATTTGACTGGAAAATGATAAAGTACAAATGAAAAAATGGGAAGTAAGGGGTGTAAACAATAGCAGAGGAAGGCATTTGATGAGCTGAAAGTGAAAGATTAGTAATACCATGGCAACTTCAATCCTTTTTCCCAGCTCTATGGGACATGTTTCAATCTTAAGTCTCCATCTTCATCTCTGACTGGCTGCCCATTATGATTTGTTTATAGGGGAAAACGTGTCTTTATGTTTTTACAGGTCCATTATCTAGCATTCACAGATTGAGTCTCTTATGTCTTTTTTTCTTTCATGTTATAATCCTTTACATGGTATCAAGCAGTTTGGCTGTATTGCCTATTTGTCAAAGGGCTTGCTTTGTAAGGCTTACGTTTTGTGAATATGCATGCTGTTTAAGTTTATTACCACCTGACACAAGCGCAGAATTTTGTCATCAATGCAAACAATGTTGCACAGTTATACAGGCAAAAATTCAAGACGTCCATTCCCACACATACACCTGCCCAAACACACACACACACACACACACACACACACACACCACTCACACATACACAAACCCACACGAGCACATACACGACCACACACACACATCATGGTCTAACAAAGAATAATTACCCTTGTTTTTAAATCCTGTTTTTGTACTTGTACAAACATTTTACTTTTCTCCTGACGTGATGTAATTTCTAAGGTGTGGGTCTTACTTACGCAGCATTTCCGATTGAATTCATAGACTTGTCTCAAAGTGTTGGGTTGTTGGTTTTTTTAAGTTAAGAGAGAACCTGTCTGTATTTTGTTACATTACTTTGAATTGTGGTTGAACTGCATGGATATCAAGTTTCAAAACTCTGACCCCAAGTTACAGTCTTTGGTCTGGGTTCCTTGGTCTGTGCCTGAACACTACACTCTATTATAATATATACCTTTGTGCTTCATTGTTCTTTTTAACCTGCACTATGAATAATAAATAACATTGTGTATGCAGGGTTCCCACTCAACAGGGAAAATGGGGGAAAAGCCATGAATTTCATTATCAGATTTCCCGGTCGGGAAAACACTAAAAATGAATGAAAACAAAAATATACGTGAAAAAGCCGGGAAATCAAAGAGCTGCCAGCAAATATGAATTTGGCGAAATCGTTTTTTAAAAAATTCAATTTTACAAAAATACAATTTTATTGTAACACCCCACCTCTGATTCCAATTTAAAGCAATGTATTTGCTGTTCGGCTCTCCCAACCCATCCCCTCCTTCCCAGCGTATACAGTTAGGAAAAGTCAGATCCCGACAGTCTACGTCACTATGTTACATTCAACTAATTTTAACACCCTTTGTGCACTGAACCCTTGTAGTCACTCAGGGACACTTTGCCCTTAGAGAAACATTAGCCTAGCTTGGAGAAAGGTCAACATTAGTTTGTGGCAAGGTGTTCAAAAATTCTCCGGCCTATGTGTTTGTGGGCGACGGCTTAGGCAAATGGGAGAGTGAAAACAAAAAAAACCCTGGATGTGCGGCATTTTGTGGAGTGATGTACACTTTAATAATTAAGATCAAAGGCTTGTGACATGTCCTGTAGGTTTCTTTTGTTTTTACAAGAGTCAAGCCAGCAGCCAATAAAATAACTCTTATCCTTTTGACCCTTGTCCTTGATACCGACATCCCAAGGAAAGGGACTATCCATGGCCAAATTACGATTTTTGCTGTGCTTTTTTCTCTTCAATTTTGCTTTATAGCTGTCATTTATTTTATTTTTTTCTTATCACTTTGAAAATGGTTGCAAAATTCAGGAGGAAACTGGGAAATTTGTTCCCCCTGATGAATGGGAACCCTGTTTTTATGAGGCAGTGTGGTGAAATCAGGTGCTCGTCAAAGTAATGAAATCAAAGAAATCTGCATTTTTCCACCCACAGGGCATTCTTCAAAAGATTTTTTTGGTGGGGCGGCTCAACACCTGTTGTGTCCATTTAAAAACACATTTTTGTGTGAATTTTACTGAAAAGCGTTAAAAAATGTAAATTTACAGTTTCCAAGTACTCCCAATCTCTGGAAATCGTCAAATTTTGGTGCCCCCCCTCTCTGACCATGTAAAAAATCTCTACTTCTATTCAAGATGAGTGGGAGTTTTTTTCATCTAAATTAAGACAAATAAACAAGCTGTATTATGATACCAATACATCAATATTCCAAAAACTAGACGAGCACCTGATTCCACCAAGACTCAACACATTACAGCACTGTTATGCATCATGCATCTGATCAAAGTAAATATGAGTTTTCATACCCTAAATATTTAGATTGTAGTAGGTACCAGTGTGCCGAGAATTAAATTGTTTTTCTACTTGTTAATCATACTTTCTCAATAGACTTGCTTGTAGTACAAGCATGCTGAAATTTTGTATGATTTTTTTTTCTAAATTCATTTGGCTAATTTTAGCTGGTTTTATGTGAGACTATACACCGGTTTGGTCATTTAGGAACAGGCCGCCCTCCACCCCCTACATAAAAACATATTTTTTAGGGACCCACACCCTTGAGCTTTGGTGGGTATAAGTCAACCCTGTTGAAAATGTCTTTGGTCAGTTCGAGCTTACATGTAAAGCATGTAACACATTTCCCTAGGGTGAAAGTTATCATGGGCGCTATGGGTGAACATGTTCGAAGCAACTAACATATAAATGCTATGGAAATTATCTAAGGCAGATACCCATTGTTAAGGTGAAAAGTGGTTGCAAAGACTTTCCCTGCCAACTTGATGATGATGATGATGATTAAACAGCGCAGTGTCAGTATAATGTAATAAAAACCCGGGGGGAAAGGGGAGACGGGCCGTTTGTACTCGTAGATATTAGACCAGGTTCGACTGTAGTGACTTGTGACCAGTCTCAATTGTGTCAAACAAGAAAGTGTTCTTTTTCTTTTTCTTTGCTTGTTAGAGTGAAGGGAAAATCTGGTTATTAAGCTTTCATTAACCACGTCATTTTTGGGGGTAAGAAAACACAAGAGCACCCTAATCAAATTGTACTTTTATTAATCTCTTGTTTTTCTTAACTGAAATAACAAGGCGTTGTAGGCTACTGTTTGCTTTGCTGCTCGAAAATTCTTAATTTTTCTTACAGCACCAGTCTCCCTGACTTTCTTCTCTGATACTGTGAAATGTCAAAAATTGTCATTACATTATATGTACAAAGATCAGAGTGTTTATTCTCTCTCTTTCTCTCTCTCTCTCTGTCTCTCTCTCTCTCTCTCTGTCTCTCTCTCTCTCTCTCTCTCTCTCTCTCTCTCTCTCTCTCTCTCTCTCTTTCTCCCAGTCTGTCTGTCTCTCTCTGTCTCTCTGTCTGTTTGTCTCTCTGTCTTTGTCTCTCTCTCTCTCTCTTTCACGCGCGCGCACACCCACACACACACATACACATACGCACGCACACACACACACACACACACACACACACACTCAGAGATATATGTGTTACTTTATGGATCCCAGTTTGCTGTAAGCTGCACATGTAGTGGTCTGTGTTGTCCGGTGTCATTGTTGTGCAATTTTGTGTCCATCTGCCCCTTTTGATTCAATTTGTGTTCTCACTTTTTCATTATAATTTCTCATGGAAGGTGTACCAAACATTCTCTCTAGCATGGATTCTTGGCATGTTTTGAGATACAGAGAGGATTTCCCCATTTTTATTTTCCAAGCTGTGCTTAACATTTTGCTACCTCAGAATTACAATGCTCTATCTGCACAGTACCTAGTTTTGAGAAATTTGACGTCAAAGATTTTGAGTTTCACTTCATGTCACGATTTTTTGGATGCAATTCTTTGAATATCTTGATACCGACTCCGAATAATCTTACTATTCTGATAGAGCAGAAAAGATATTTGTTTCTGACCTCATAGTCATAGTCTTATTAACTCAAAATGGCCAAAAATGTAATTCTGAGGAAGCGATTTGCTTCAGTGTGTACCTTAAATTTTTTAATTTTTTCAAAACCAACAACCTCGCATTTAGATTCATACACATATAGTAGTCTTGACACATTGCCCATAGTGCTTGTTCACAATGATTCTCCTTATACATAGAAATGTCTCCTCCATTTTTGGGTAAAGACGTGACGACTCTGAAACTGAAAAGAGTGTGTTACTACATGTACTGGCACAATTGAAATTTTGATTCTTCAGCACATTCTGTTTTTACTCACTTCTTTTGTGACAGATTTATTTCATTCTGCACTTGAAAGTTGACAGGGCTCAGACCTAAATAAAATTTTTCTAGTCTTAATTATTACTCCCACACTCAATACTGTTTTTGAGAAAACAGAATAAAAGGTTTTATGTTTTGTTTGCCACTCACAGAAAGGTTTCTCTTCTGTTCTTTAGTATTGATTTTTATCATTTGTTTTTATTATTATCTGAAAAATATTGTTGTATTTCTGATTAGTATTAGAAATGTCTTTAAGTCAATGAATTTACTGTTTTCTTTTTCCTTTATTTTTGAAGGCACATGCGTGGATTGTTCCAGAAAGGCGGACGACCTTACGTGCAGGCTAGTGTCGGCGTGGCAGTGGCAGCTCTCCTTGGTTTTGCCCTCTACAAGGTCGTCTCATCCTCTTCCTCATCATCGAGCATTAGGAGATAAAGATTTACTGTTATTGGAATACAATATTAAGGGATGGGCATTTTGAATTTATCCTGACCTTACGTTTCAACCCCCTCCCCCCGCCCGAATAAAACAAAAGTTCCTGAAATTTTGTTTCGTAGGTCAGTATGATAAGTTCAGTCTCATATCATTTCTGATCCTGTAGTAAAAGCTCAGGATTTTTCTTTCCCTCAAGGAATGGTGCCCATCTCTGAATGTATTTTTACGTATGTAGGTTGTTGTAGGATCTCTGACGACACCTCCTTCCTTTCCTCATGCATTTCTGACAATGTGTTGACTAATGACTGATACACTTTGTTGTCTGTCCTCCCGCACGAGGTGCCAAGCATAGGTTTCAGAAAACTACTCTGGTATTATTATTATTATTTCTTCAAGTGTTAGTCATAATATTTATTTATGCAACAGGGAGAGTGTGAATGCTGCCACATGTTGTGCTCCTTTGGAGGGTTCTGTGGATGCATGTCAGTGTGGGGAAGATTCTGTTTTGAGAATGATTTTGTTTGATAGAACAGATTTGCCAGTGTTATCTGTGCACTGGTTAGTTGAATGATTGTTACATTTTAGATGAAGTGTGATGTGAAAGGCAAAATGACTTGTTCCTTCCTGTGCAAGTACAGATATTTATATATATACTTATGTATGAGTGTACAATAATGCAAGGATGTTTACATACTTGCAGCATGCACTGCCTTTGAGTTGCATTGTTTTACACTAGTTGTAGAAACTTGTTGTGGATGATCGGAGGAGGGTGCTGGAAAGAGCTACACTTTCTTTCCTTTTTTTTTTTTTTTTTTTTTTGGTCCCTATGTTTATTTGTTTGTGAAAGCACAAAAATCTGACCATCTTGATGATGTCAGAATGTTTATTTGTAATTTATGGCATGATTCAGCTCCTGCGGATTTACTCTTTATTGGCTTCCTGTCTGGCTTGCTCTATGACACCCCCCCCCCCCCCCCCCCCCCAAGAGTTTTGTGTCCCGTAGTACAATGGGGTTGATGTTCATATTTGATTTTGCCACAACTGTCAACACTGTATCTCTATATTCTTATGCTTTCTTCCGTCTTTCAGCACCCATGTACACTTGTCCTTTCATGCAACACAAGTTGATTATTTCAGGAGTAAGGTGTGACTAAATAAAAAAGATACCTTCAAAGCAATATGACCTCCAGAGAAGGGAGGGAGGAAGTGGTTTCAATCAAAGCTCAACATTTTCTTCCTTCCATTACTCTTGTCAGAGCCATAGGATTCTTTTAATCCAGTAAAGTAGTGAGTGTGTCTACTGTGTGCATTTATGCTGGTCAGCTGAACATTTGAGAGGTCCTGTAAGGTGCAAGGTAGACTCTGGTATGATGCCCATGAAATGTCTTTTAGTTTGTTAGAGTCAGAAGTAAAGTTCAAACTCAGGTGTCTTTTTGCGTAAATTTGATGATGTGATTTGTTCTGTTGTTACAAGTGTCTGTGCATGCCTGGGTTGGGTTGGTTTTGTGGGTTTTTTAAGCTTTTCTTTTTTTTTTTGACCCATGTGCACAAGGTATGTATTAAAAATTTCATTAGGAAGGGGCAGTAATGCCTTCAAAGAGTTCAGAGATGATTGACATAGTTGTGGTGCTGCAGACTGCCGTGCCATTTGTATGAACAAGGTATAGGAACTTTTTTAATCGACAAGTGAACATAGGGAAGTTATCCAGCGATGCTCTGTGAAGGATGTGGTATATAATAAACTAATGATAGGCCTATATATCTTCTCATTCACTTCAATATTAAAAAAGTACTTTTGTGAGTGGTTGGCGGGTGCTCTGGTGTGGTTTGCTCCTTCTTTCCTATCAAACATCTGTCATCCTTATCTTCCCTCCTTCTTTTTTGTGTTTGTTACTCTCTTTAGACCTGCATGTTTGCCGACAATCGTCTGAAATCCGACAATCGCGACGCAACCCGCGAGGCGGCCGATGCTATCGCTAGGCCCACTTGTATCAGTCAATGTGTGAAGTGCGAGGCCTGGCTGACTGCCAGTGTCCCCCTTTTCTCCCGTCGGCTTTTCGGCACTTTCATTTTCGTGCCGACCACCGACTGCCGACGTCGGCGTTTCCGACATAATTGTCGGAACCTGAGTAGAAATGCGAATACGAAAAAGGACGACGACCTAAATTATCTACTTTCAGTTTCGTGCTCGAGCAGCCATTTTGAATTTCGTTTTGTTGACAAATTCAATTGTTCAGATCGTTTGGATTCATTCCAGTCCGACTCACTTAGATAATAGAATCTTGATCTAGATATATATAGATCATTATAGACCTCAATGGAGGATTCATATTCCAATTCTATTTGGTCAAACCCTATCATAGGTTGTGCTGTAATATTAATGTTGGTAAAAAAACATTTCATCAGGTGCGTGAATTATTTATTTATTTAGAATCTAGATATCTAGACCTAGTCTAGACTCAGCTGCGCCCCTCTGTTCGGAATCGGATGCGGATTTCTAGTTCAAGGCCTATTCCTAGATCCTATTCACTTGTTCTACAAGATCTAGATCTAGATCTAGATTTATTTAGTTTACTAGATCTATATGGAGGATTCATATTCCAATTCTAGAATCTATTGTGTTATTGCATCAAACCCTATTATTATAGATCTAGCAATATGTAGATGTAGGCCATTATGCTCATTGTAAGCCTTGTTTGTTTTGGAGTGTGGTTTTTTAATTTTAAAAATGTATTTCATTTTGGATTTTTGCTGGCCTTTTCACATGAGGCTCGTTGCAGGTTCTTTGTTGGGGTAGGCCTAGGGGTAGGGGTAGGGTTAAGTCTCTTCTTTGTTGTGTTTGTTGGGGTGGTCGCTCGTTACTCGGAAGTCCTTCCTTATGACACCCACAAAAGCTCTTTTTGGGTGGGGGGGTTGCTCAAAATTTTCAGACAATCTGGTTGAGGCTCACATGCAGGTCTATCTCTTGTAACGCTTCTAATCTTCGGCACTTATATGACCTTATTGTGTTGCAAGTGAGGTAAAACACTTTAAAAGTCCCCCCCGGGGCAGTGCCACTGACTGTAGTGTCTTTAGGCCATTCCCAAAAGGGGGACATTTCTCGTTCAAGCACAGTAGAATTGTAAATGGGCTGATTCATGTCACGCTCATAACTGTGCCTGATCTACAACAGGGAACTGCTGCTTTTTCTTTCCTAATCCTTACTATTGTAAAATTTCTCTACTTCTTTTGTATGTTTGTCACTCTCTTGTGACCTGCTATTTCCGGGGTGCCTTGGTAGTTGAAGCAGACCTTGTGCTTTTGAAGCTAGAGAGGTGAGCAGAGTAAGTTTGATTCCCTGTAAAGACTTCTCTGTTATCACCCGCCCCTTGGCGCTCAAATGACCTTATGCAGTTGCGAGCGCCGTAAAACCCTCTACTATTACTACTAAAATTTAAAAAAACACTTTAAAAAACAAAAAGAAGTACTTTCTCCTCTATTGAAAAAAAACAAACCCACCCTAATTAACACAGAATGTAACTTCTTTTTCATCATCATTGATTAAAGGTGGCTGCTAAAATCAGAGATTCATCGACAGTAAGTGGAAATGTTTTGTTGACTGGAATATTTTCAAGGGTAAAGACCCTATTTTTCATTGTTCCTACCTTTAGTTTTAATATATTTTCAAAATATATTTGTGAGTTTGTATTTATGGCACTTTGTTATAAGACCTAGGAACTAAAGAGTTGATGCTGGAAGGATCAGCATGCCACATGTTGCTGTTTTCTTCAAGAAATTGCTTGAAGATTTCCTTTTCATAAGTTTCTGTTTTCACATTTGATCCTGTAATTTTCCTGATATTTAAGTTACTACATTTTATCCCTGAATTTAGTGCTCACCTAATTATCACTTCTCTGTGTACTGCAGGTTTCGGTTTTGTTTTCTCCTTTTGCTTTTATAATATTAATATTATCTCAGTTTGTGGAGAAATATGTTTATCTTGCCGTCTGGCGAAAAATTCATTGTTTGTTGTTTTTCTAGTCCATCAAACGGGGAAAAAATGTTGTAGTGAAAGACAAAGAATTGAATGGAAGTTATACATGATATATTCACACGATGAAAATGAAGTGATACAAGTTAAGGAAATGAAAAGTAGTCATTTTTTTAAAGAAGGAATTAAATTTTAAAAATAACACATGCAAGTCAAAGCAATTAGCCCTTTTCATGGCTTAGTTGTTTTGTTTTTGGGGTGGGGTTATTTGGAGGTTTTGTTTTGTCTTTTGTCTTTTGAGAATTTGTTGGTTTAGCCAGTTTTGAGAGTTCTGTTTGTGTTTACTACAAGTTAGTACATGAGTGACTTCATCTCAACAGAATGTAAGGACAAGGGAATTTGTTGCTGGGTCATTTTGAGCCCTTAACAGTTTTGTTTCCGTGAAATGGCCTTTCACACTTTTTGCAGATGTGTATTCTGTGTCTTACTGAAACAGCATTGTTCTTTGTGGGTGTCTGTGAGCATGTACCATGTGCTTGTCATTGCTGGAGAAGTGTCTGTTTAAGTTCAGTTCTGGTTTAAGAAAGAGAAAAGGCTCCGTCAGCTGTACCACAGCTTTGTACATACCATGCTACAACAAAGTCTGTGTTGTTTACAAATATAGTAAACATTCATTTATGCCAGTGTTTGAAAGTAGCAGGAGTCCTGATATTGAATTATCCTTACAGGAAATCATCTTTGATAGCTCTCAGGCACGCCCAGTTGCATACATGTGCATATAAATTAATATATGTAAGAGATATGAGATGTACGAAATGACATTACAGTTTTTCTAGAGGTGTAAAAGATTGCCATCATTTTTAGTTCAAACCATGGTGATGGGTCTAGACTATTTCAAGTAAATTCAAGTGTTTATTATGAGGATTGCTCTGGCACATGAATGTATTTTGTAATTTTAAGTTACTTTTATCCATGTTTGGTATCCTGGAACATGCTTCCCTGTCTGATTTTTTAAATGCTTGTGTCAGTTGTAGAAGCCAGAAAACATAGTTACTTGCTTCCTTTGCCGTTTGTGCCCTATTATTTGCAGCTTTTTGGTGTTTCAAAGACCACTGAGGTTGGGAGTCCTGCTTCTGGAACAGATCTGTCCCTGGGTGCTGGCTATCTAGATCCAAAGAACATTGACATTACAAGTCCTGTTACTGGCTCCTCGCTGAATGCTGGCAATCTTGAACCAAATTTGATTCCTACTGTTGGTCCTGTCACTTCCAATGGGTTTAAAAGTCCCCAAGTCCTGATATCGGGATTGGGTTAATAGTCGCATGTCTTTGCACTGACAATGATTCCTTGAAAAATATCATATTAAAGCTGTCTTGATTCTGAATGTATCATGTAGACTATAGCAGTGACCCAGATTCCAATTTTTTAAAAGTATTGTACTCTTGAAATGGTTCAATTGAAACTTGCTTATAATATAATACAAAGTGGGTACCAGAAACTAAATTTTCAAAGTAGCTGTATGCCAAATTTATCAGTTCCATTTGAAAGGCCTATATCCTTTGAGCATTTTGGTACCATTCTTTGACCTCTCAGTCAATTTTTGAGAAAATGGTAGTTGTTTAAAATTTGATCAAATTTGTTAAAGTCAGTCACTGGCTGCAACCCCATGTTTGACAGACAATAAAAGAGTACCAAGAGCACTGAACATCTCCACATTAACAGAGTACAATCACTATAACAAATATATGGAGCCTAATTTTTTTCAAGACTGTGAGATCATTACAAATCAGTACTTTATCGCCTCAAACACGATGATCTGTCGTTATTTCGACAAAAACACCAAGCGTTGACCCGGCCGGCGCAGCACCAGGCCCCGCGGCGAGCGAGTCGGCTCTATTCTGTAGTGTACCCCGCGTGCGGGGTCACATGCTTTCTGAGTCTCGCGGAAGGATTGATGAAAAATAATTCCAAGCAATTTACTTTATTCTAATAGGAAATAAGCTGATCTTTCATTAGAAATATTTTTTAAGCCGGCATTTTACATATTATGGGTAAAAAGTGATCTTTAAATATTTTGACAGTATTTTTAAAAGCTTTCTATTTAAACGCGAACGGCAAAACCACGGGAAAGCCCGTTTAAAGCTCTACAGTTCTCCGCCAATGAAAAGACGGTACTTAATCATTCCTCGTTCCGCGAAGCATTTGAATGCACCCGTGTCAATTTTTCAACCGGCCGACCACGCATTCCGACAGCGAGGGGCTTCGCTTTCGTCGGCGATTCTCCAGCTCCTACTAATAGGACATAAAAACAACTTACACCATTGTAACGAGGAAAAGCTGAACTTTTACAAGGTGTACGGCATTTGGTGTTTTATAGCGAAAGAGCACAGAAACAGCGATCGGAATTACCCCGATTTCACCGATACCACGCCGTCGGAAGGCCGCGGGTGCCCG